TTTTTTCTCCTTGTCAGACCTTTGACTGCAGCTGCTCCAGTGCTGATTGAGTCGCCTGTAGAAGGGCAACAATATCTCCATTTTCTTCTCTGTTTGGCTTATAAGATGACTTGGTGTTCTTCCACAGAGCCCTATGAGGTACAGAAAAGAAGTCAGAGAGGCTTCTCACCTACAAACCAAATCAGAAAAAGTTGGGACAGTTTGGAAAACAAATTAAAAAAAAAAAAAGAAAGTAGCAATTTCTAAATTTCCTTTGACTCGTGATTCATTGCAGAGAATATGAACACAAAATATTTCATGTTTTGTCCTTTTCTGTCATTCTGACCTGCAACACATTCGAAAAAAGGTTGGGACAGGAGCAATTTAGGGCTCATAATCACGTAAATTGGTTAAATAATGATCTGACTGGAAACAGGTGATGTCTAAGCAGCATCTGAGAAAGGTCTAGTCCTTTTATTGGAGTCTCTAGGAGCAAAGATGGGCCAAGGAGAAGCAGTTTGCAACAAATACGAGACAAAATGTTTAAAGACAATGTTCCTCAAAGAAAGATATTTGGATATTTCACCTTCAACAGTGCATAATAGAATTAAAGGATTCAGGGAATCTGGAGGAATTTCAGTGCATAAAGGACAAGGGCGCAAGCGTAAGCTGAACAACCGCTCCGATCCCTCAGGCGGCACTGCATCAAGAACAGTCATTCATCTATAAGCGATATCACCGCATGGGCTCAGGACCGCTTTGGCAAACCTTTGTCAAGTACCACAGTATATAGTTACATCCACAAATGGCAGTTAAAACTGTACTGAGCCAAAGGGAAGCCGTGTGTTAACAGAAGTGCCGTGGACTTCTCTGGGCTCACAGGCATCTGGGATGGACCACGTCACAGTGGAAACGTACACTGTGATCACATCAATAATTTCATATCAATTGGGTGGCAGTAGCTCAGGCGGTAGAGCAGGTCATCTACTGATCGGAAGGTTGATGGTTCAATTCCTGGCTTCCCCTAGTCTGCGTGCCAAATATCCTTGGGCAAGATACTAACCCCAAATTGCTCTCCGATGCATCCATCGGAGTGTGAATGTTAGTTAGAAAGCACACAGAAAATGTGCTTGTGTGAATACACAAGTTGTGTACAGCACTTTGAGTGCTCAGAAGAGTAGAAAAGAACCAGTCCGTTTACCATCAATCACTGTTTTTTGGGAGAAATGGATGCTGTGTGCTCCGGACCAAAGAACAAAGTTACAAAGTCCTGCCTGCAGTCCTGACAGGTCTCCAGTCCAGAATGTGTGGTGACAACAAAGACCCCGTACTGTTGCCCAGCTTAAGACTTATTTGCAGGAAGAAATGGGACAAAATGACACCTGAATCACTTCATCGCTCAGTGTCCTCAGTCTCTAAACGTCTTTTAAGTGACAACATTACAAACCAGTACATGCTTTACTGTTCCAACTGCTTTTGGGATGTGTTGGAAGAACCAAAACTGGAATATGTGTTTATTTTGAAAACAACAATAAAATTCATGAAGAACACATTAAATAATGTGCTGTTGTACTGTTTTCAATATAATACAGGTCAAAGATGATTTAACAAAGCACGGTTTCAGTTTGACTTTACTTTAACACACGTCCCAACTTCTTCTGATTTGTGGTTGTACAACAGCACACAATGAATTCGATTAGGATTCACCAAGCATCCATGAATGAGTCTTTCAGCAATGTGTGTAAAAAGAGATCATCAGACAGCAAACATACTTGATGTGTGTTGGCCAAGGGTCAAACGCAGGACTGAGTGTCTGTGTGAGGTGCGGCAGATTCTCAGCACCAAAGAACTCCTTCAGCAGCAGCTCTCCATCAGCTGTGTGCCCAGCAGACTTCACGCAGCCTGGGACGAAAGCTAAAAGCTGCTCCAGAAACTGAAGTTGCCGCCGTGGACTTGCATCACCCTTCAGAGATTAAACACAGAACCATGGATGTGTGATTACTATTTGTGTTGTGATGCTGCATGTCTGTATGTGTGAAACAATAACATCACTAATTGAATACAAACTCTCACCCTAATCAGGTCCACATCAGATGCTCGGCATAGCAAAAGTTCCTGCCCAAGAACAGCCATATCTGCTTGGACATAAACCACCACAGTTGGTGTCAAGCAGCAAAAACATCTGGTGGACTCTGTGCACAGCTACGTTACCTTTAGTCAGAACATCAGGCTCCTTGGATCTCACTGACATCGGCTTTGAACTGGTGAAGCTTGGGCTGATACTGTGAAGTGAACACACGGCGGAGTTCATAATGATGAACAGATTATTTGTGGTACATGAGCAGAGCTTCTCCTACCTGCTGCAGATCCACGCTAGTATGTCCGTGCGGTGCTGTGAGGGGGCGCACAGCAGCTGCAGCATACTGTCTGCTTCCTGCAGGTACAGACCTTCAACCAAGGGGCAGGACGCAGCCTCAACACGCACACGGCACACACACACACACACACACACACACACACACACGACAACAGAGTCACATCAAGGCAAAG